CTCAAGATCTTTCTTCTATACTGGGGTCTGCAAAAGGCAACGCATTCCTTTAGCAGGAAAATTACTACCAAGGGGGGCGATACGCCTGAGATTATTAAGATGCCTGAACTGCTAGGGGAGGAAAGGCAGACATGCCTTTTAAACCCTGAACTAAAGCATCCATGAAAGAGCCGAACAATACTCTTACGAGTCGGGGAGGCAGAAGGGTGGTGAGGCAGATGTCTGCCCACGCCCCTCTCCAGTTGTAGTAACTGGTAGAGTAAGGCACTTGGTGTGAACTGGCAGGAACTCACCAAGTGAAAATCAGTCTCCCAGTCACTGGGCTACAACTTTCCTGCAACCACCCACCTGTCAGTTCACAGACTCGAATCAGGGTCTGGAAAGCAGGTACCAGAACAATGAAGGTAGCTGCATCTATTGCTTCAGGCCTAGTCCACCCAATGCCGTCCCAAATCAAATTCCAAACCCAACAAGTCAAGCAAATGAAGTGCAAACCCCCAATCCATAACTCTGCCCCAGGCCTGGCTCACTGTGTATAGGGGCAGACCCCCTACCCCATGTCAGTCTCACCATTAACTTAACATTTGTCATTCAGTGTAACACTGGGTCACATAAAAAAAAAAGACGAAATCCAATTCCTTCCACATCCATTAGTATTATTGTTGTTGTTGTTACTGGTGCTGGGGACCAAACCCAGGGTCTCCCACATTCTAGACAAGCTCTGTACCACTGAGCTGTATCTGCAGCCCTGCATGGACTTTTTTTTTCCCCCGAGACAGGGTTTCTCTGTGTAGTTTTGGTGCCAGTCCTGGAATTCACTCTGTAGGCCAGGCTGGTCTTGAACTCACAGAGATCCTCCTGGCTCTGCCTCCTGAGTGCTTGGATTAAAGGCATGCGCCACCACCGCCCGGCCCCTTACATGGACTCTTGACAGCATTAATACATTTGATTCTATTTCTCAGGAGCTTGTTGTTACAACCCTCTCTCTTGGACCATTAGCCTCTGCTTTTTCACAAGAGCCTTTCTTTATGAAAAAAAAACAAACCCATGCTCTAGAATTTCCCATCTTAAAATATAGAGAGGCACATTCACACTTCTCATCTCCACTCAATGACTTTCTCATTATTCTACTTTGTATCCTACCCAAGTTTCTACAACGAGCTGTCTAAGCTGGGCATGGTGGTTCACACTTTTAATCCTAGCACTCAGGGGCAGGAGAATCTGTGAGTTTAAGGTCAGCCTGGTCTATGTAGTGAGTTCCAGGACAGCCAGGGACATGTAAAGGAGACCCTGTCTCAAAAAAATTAAAACAATCAAACAAAAATCAAACAAACCAAAATCCCCAGCGTCCCCCCCCAACCCTCTCCCCCACCCCCGCCAAGAAAACACTCCAAAACACAAAAATCAACCTGTCTACACCAGGATTTGGCAAAATAAAACTAGTGGGCCAAATCCAGCTAGCTATCTCTTCTTGTAAACCAAGAAAAAACAACCAGGAAAAATCCAGACACTGGGGTTGGCCAGAGTGAGGAGAGGGATGATACTGGCACCTAGTGGGCACAAACCAGGGATGCTGCTACCCTTCACCACCCAGCTCAAGTCACAGAACCAGGGATGCTGCTACCTTTCACCACCCAGCTCAGTCATAGAACCCAGAAGTAGTCCCTACTGTGTCAGAATGATGCTTGAGAAGACTGATAGACTCAGTGTGTCATGACTGATGGACTGATAAGAGACTCAGTGTGAGGACTGATATATGGCTGTCTGTCTGGGAGGACACATGCGGAACTGGTTAGAGTCGGTGTCTTAGGGAGGGAGGAATGGAGAGGGAGGTTTACTATGATCTCAAGGGACTACTGTCTGTAAGTCTAGATGGAAAACAAAAAGAACCCATGCTCTGGAATGAAGCCTGAAATAGGAGGTGTCGGTACAAACAGAAACCCAAGCTCATTCTTGACCCCGAGTCTGCTCCTCTGAGAACAGAACTGGAGGGGTGATGTGCCTACTTAGTAAACACTGCCCTGTGAAGATCAAGGAAACAAGGCCAGGGAAACCCCTCCTGAGCCCCAGCGTTCCCCCGAGTCACAGGAAACGCTATAGATCCTATTGCACTAAACTTCAGACTAGCAATGACAAGTAAGACCTTTCCCATATGCCCTTCCTCAGTCACCCAGTGCTCTTGTCCCTGGGGCTTTAGGAGTCTTTCCCTGGTGACAGCCTTGAGACCTTGTATTTGTGCTGCCTATCCAGCCACCATGAACAAACAGTTCGGGAAATGTCTTACTGTGATAAGTCAGACAGCAAGTGGTCCACAGTTACCTGGTGACTGTGTGCAGTGACGGCTAAGAAGGAAACATCTTTTCTATACTGCTCAATAGGCTAGCGGATGAGTACAGGAGTCTGGGCTCAGCCACACACCAGCAACAGCCCCGTGACTGGCTGCCTGAGCAGAGAGAGTGCCGTCAAAACACTCACCAATGCCGATACAGCCAGCTTACCTGCCAACTCTTGGGTCTTAACAGCGGGGACATGTGGGCACAGACCGAGGACTAAGGCTCCTACCCAGGAAATTTCTGAGTCAAATAATGCCACCTTTGGTCCTCAGTCCTTGAACGGCAAGGACAATTCACAGGTGAAAGCTGCCTGGAACCTGATTAGTGGCTGACACGGTCAAGTTCCCTACTGTTAGCCACTGTGAGAACCACAGGTGAGCCCTGGGGCAGATGCAAGGGGCGTCATTCACAGGAACGAAAAAAGGAGGAGAACTGTGGGTGGCTTACGTGATGTACTTGTTGTAGAGGATAAAGGCATGTTCAATGTTGCCTTCTTCAGAGTAAATGGATGCCATGCGGATGATCTCAACACCAGAACGGAAGTAGCGACGGGGTGGAATGTCTTCATTTAATTCAACTGCACTCCCAAGTTGGGACAGAATCCTCACCCGGTCTTGGGGTGGGAGGCTCACATCTCCATGGTCAGACATTGGACCAGTGAGTTCTGGGACAAAAAAACAAACAAACAAACAAACAAACAGATAACATCAAAGCCAGGATCGTATCTCCCCAGAGGTCTAGCACAGGATGAGTGTATCACAAATCTCTCAAAAAATTATAGAAAGAGCTGGGCATGGTTGAGCACACCTTTAATTCCAGCCTCTGAATTCAAGGCCAGTCTAGTCTACATAGCAAGTTCCAGGACAGCCAAGGCTACAAAGAGAGACCCTGTCTCAAAACAAAAACAAAGCACAAAACAGACAAACAAAAATTAGAGAAAATAAAACACTACACACAGTGGTTCTGATCAATAAATTATCCCTCCTATCCCCAAGAATACTCAAATACATCAAATGTCCCACAATTTGATGCTACAAGGAATACAGCCATTAATAGGCCGCTGTGGGCTGGGTCTGTTGTTCCTTAATCACTCATCAGGGGAAGGCGTGCCTAGGGCACAGTGGAGGTAAGGAAGCACCAGCTATTTTTCTCTGTTCTCTATCCAGATTCCTGCTTCCATTTCCCCAATACCCGGCAGAGTGGGTTCAGTGAACCTTCTCGAAGACTGCTCTGTTAATTCATGCTGACTATTTTAAATAAGTGATATTTACTATAATACACTTCCTCAGTTTTGAATACAAGGCCATTGTGTGTGTGTGTGGGGGGGGCTTCTTTCTGGGGCAAATGTTCCTAACTCTGCTCACTAAACCACTATTTGATTCCGTCCATCACATTTACCCTTCCGGGCCAGGCAGGTAGCGCTCAGAAGCATCAGTGCATCCTTGTCTCCACAAGACAAGCAAGGCTTGAACAGCAATGGGACAGTTACCCCACATGGGGTGGGACACTCTAGGATTCTTACTCATTGCAATCCAAACTCCAGTGGGTCTACATTCTTTCTAGATGTCGCTTCCCTTCGACTACAGGCCCTGGGCTCCACACACCATCATTCCACAGAATCCAGAGCAGAATCCGGGTTGTTGTTGTGCACTGGATCACAGCACACCCCAGCCAGCCTAGTCTAGAATACACTCCTCTTCTGCTGGAGCAGTCTCACTTTTCCATTTCTGTACGGTATTCCTCCGTCAGGATTCCCACCTACCCGGGAACGGCCGATTACAGTCTCCTTTGAATTTCAGCCCTTGTTTTTCTGAGTTCTACTCACCTGTCCTGTTTTCTCTAGGCCAATTCTACTTTAGCTTGCTTCAACCTTTGGGTGGCATTTCTTCCATGAAGTTTCCCCACTAAAGCTCCTTATTTCCTAGCAAAAGCTGGGGGCTGCTAGGAACGTGGAGGCATTGCAAATATAACACATCTCCTCCTGCGAGGGTAAAACCCGCCCAAGCCCCTAACTGTTGAACCGGGCAGAGCCCAGCAGAGCTCACTGGAATGGGATGCTGGGGGGGGGGGGGGGGGGGGCGGGCGTGGGGGAGGCACTTGTGGGTAGAGAAGGGACTCTCCTCCGGAAGCCATTGAGTGGCTTGGGTCAACATGGGGTTCAGCAACCATGCAGAGTTAAGACAGTGTCCGAAAAGAAGGGGGAGGGGCCAGGAGGGGCTCTGGAGGAGGCGAAAGGAAGGAGCAGAGGGGCGTGTGCACCGGAGAGGGATCCAGCTCTAACAGCTGGCAGCGCCCTCCAGAAGGCTCTCAGGCAGGTTTCTCGAAAATGCAAGGAGTGTTGAGACCGGGCCTGGCTGGTCAGGAGCCTGGCTGGTCTGGGGACAGGGCTATCCCGGAGCTCGCGCGCGGCGGGCCGGGGTCAGGGGTACGGGTCCCACACTCATGGCTTCTCCCCGCGGGGCCCCACCGCACCAGGATCCCCCGTCCCGCAGCATTCCCAGGACCCTTCCCACCTTTCCTGAAGGATGACAGTCGGAGCTTCCGGAAACGTCACCTCCGATGACACGCCCACTCTCGCCACTCCTTCAATTACACTCCAAGGATTTAAGACCTGGTGTGGAGAACGGGTGGGTGGGGCTGGAATCTTCCACCAATGAGAACGAGCTCTGCAGCTGCCCTCTCGGTAGAGGAACATGAACCAGGAAGAAAAGGAAACCAAGCGAAGGAGGGAACGGAACTGCCGACCGAACGAGTATGTTTTAAAACTTTGAAGCAGCAGTTTCCTGCCAATGGCTCCTCCACTGGAATAGCAATTTAACATTTCATGAGGGATTGCTGTCTAGCTTGACATTCACGGCTCAGATGACAGCACCGCTTCAAACAAAACGACTACCCAGCTAAGCAGCACCCAGCCAGCCTGTCAGTGGGTCCTGCTTTTGTTTTTGTTTTTTAAACTTACATTCATTTTTGTCGTGTGTGTGTGCGTGCGTGTGTGTGCGTGTGTACGTGTGTGTGTGTGTACGTGTGTGTGTGTACGTGTGTGTGTGTGTGTGTGTGTGTTCGTTCGCCGCCTGTGCGTGGGAGCATGCCGCAAGGGATGGTGATTGTCAGAGGGCAACTTATGGGACAGTTTCTTTCCTGCCACATGGGTTCTGGGGACTGAACTCAGGTCATCAGGCCTGGCGGCAAGTGCATCTACCCACTGACCCATCTCACCAGCCCATGCTGGTTCTATTTTAATTCTCTTCATAGTCCCCTCCACTGTAGGATTCTCCTAAACTACAATTACTTGAAAGAAGGGAGATTTTTCTAACTTATGGCTCTATCCCCAGTGCCCACAATGGTTTGTGGTTCCAAACTCAATACATATTCTTGCATGTGCAGGTGTTATTGAGATTATATGGATGGTGAAATCACTTTCACCGATTGTGAAAGTGTCGATGACAAGGACAGGCTGGCCATTGTGTTCTTGGGACCAAATGTTCTCTACGAAACAGTCAGAACTAGGAGAAGGCAGTGTGTTGCACGAATCCTAAATGGTCTTATAATCAAAACCCAGAGCCAGATATTGGAATAAATACTGAACAAGCCACAGCCACTTCTCACCTCGCCAACTCCTCAGCTGAAAAGAGAAGATCTTGTCTCCATGAATCCTCAGACTGAATGCCTCTGAGTCCTCTCATCTGAAAGGGCCTAATTCCTGTCTCCTTCCGCCATATATTCCTTTCCCTGCCCAGCCATATCACTTCCTGTCTCAACCTTCCTAGTGCTGGGATTAAAGGTATGTGCCACCACTGCCTGGCTGTTTCTCTTTTAAACTGGATTAGTCTCGTGTAGTCCAGGGTGGCTTTGACCTCACAGAGATCTAGACCAATCTCTGCCTCCTGAGTGCTAGGATTTAAGATGTGTGCCACCACCGCCTGACCTCGACCTCTGTAGCTAACTCTGTGGCTGGTTCTGTCCTCTGATCTTCAGGCTGGTTTTATTAGAGTCCAGCAAAATATCACCACAGCAGTGGGATGGGGCGCCCGTGTTAATAAGTATCTGTGATACTAAGTCTGCAGGAACACTTGAGGGACAAGTTCCTGCTGTGAGGGCTGCCAGGGTCTAGGGTGAGATGCAGGAGGGGAAATTCGCTAGCATGAGCTGTGAGCTCCATGCACCACATGACAGCACAATCCTGTCTTACACTTTGCTGAGGAGTGAGGGTGTTCGTGAAGAGATGTGTGATGCACTCTAAAGACAGACTGCTCACAGTATTGGCCTCTTCGTTGTGAGCTCATTGGGATTGAAAAAGACAGGTGAGCCATGAACACTTAGGGGGAAAGATGTGGTTTTATGGGCTCAAACCCAGGAAAAGGCACCACGACCTTGAATTTGTGCACTATTCTTGTAGGCAAATTATATACTTGATACTTACCTCCAGCTGTAGAACACACCTCAATTAGCTGCCTCAAATTTCCCAGTGCAGAACTCAGAGCAGCATTGGGATGGACTTGTGGTTCTGAGCTCCATTTTGTTTGAAGGCAGGCCTTTCCTGTCACCGAGAACAAATTAGTTAGGGAAATAAGTTCTCATAGTCATTGGGAAATTCTTCAACGTGCATTTGTGTTGTTAAAATGAATGCTTAAACCAGACATGATGGTGAAAGCCAGTAAGACAGACATGGCAGTCCCTCTTCCCCCAGGCTCTTAGGTTAGGGAGATCATTTCAATGTTTCTTTTAAATGTACCTGCATAGATTCCCCCATTCTAACAGATGACATTAGTATATGTTATATGGACAGAATCTATTCTTGGGGAGAAAGGAAAACCTCTAGATTGAATTAATCTGATCCATGAACTTCTGGAAGCTTTCAAGGACCAAACAATGGGATTAAAGTTTTTTTATATATCTTTAATTTGGGTCAGGAGTAGGGTGAAGTTCATCGGATGCACCTCTCAGGGATGATGTGGTCCAAAGTTCTTATCTTTCACTTTCTTCATAACTGCTACCTTCCTTGTGGTAGACTGGGCATACATCTATGTATGTTCTTTCTACTTTCATCCCTCCTCCCTTTATTGTGTGAAATATTTGTTGGAAAAAGCCTTTGTTTTGCATTCTTAAACTCATAGATGTCACTTCTGGTCATCTTCCAGAAGTAGGGCTCTCCTCAGTATCCGGATGCTCTGAAAATGGACTCCACCCACTAGAAGCAAGCAGCAGAGAGGCAGAAGCAGCTGACTGCAAGCTTTCCTTCTACTGAGTTGAATCTTGCCCATACTCTGCTGCTTTTTCTTCCTTAGACCATGTAGACAGCCCACTGTTTGGGTCTTTCATGCTTGAAAAGCATCAAAGATGCTTTCCTTCCTTCTTTTTGTTTGTTTGTTTGTTTGACACAGGGTCTCACTGTGCAGCCCAACCTGATCTGGAACTCACTAGGTAGCCTGAGCAGGCATCAAACGCACAGGAGATTCTCCTGCATCAGCCTCAGAAGTGCTAGGATCACAGGTGTGAGCCACCTGCCCAGCTCCATTCTCTCTTCTTTCGTGGGTGCAGCCAGTGTGGCAGTTATAACTGGCTTACTTCCGCTTGCAAACTGCCAGTATAGAATCTTGACCCTCCAGCATTCTCTATCAACCTTGGGTGCAGGACCGAGCAAAAAACGGAAGAGTTGGAGGAAGAAGACATTAGTGAAGGCCAGGTAAAGTACAGGTCCAGAAAAAGGGGATTTGTGTGGATTTTTTTGTTGTTGTTATTTTACTGTGGGAAATGAGCCAACACATCTTGCCTCCTTTCATGTTTTCAGAAATGGCAATTGGATGTTTGTATATATCAAGAGAGTCCAGAAATGGTCATGAAATCTGCACACTGAAAAGAGAAACTTAAATATGTTTTCTCATGTTATCTCTCCCATTAGAATTCGTGTAAATGGTAGGTCACTTTTATGGTTCACAAAGGCATTTACACACAGTTCATATTTAGTGGCCTAAAAAAAAAGCAACCACAAAGATACTGCCATATTTTAACTGTACTCACTTAATTATCCAATTATTATTCAATTAACTATTATTAATTAATTATCATTCAATTAACTGTATCCTTCAATACTTTTTGAAGTGTTAGACATTCACCCAGGGCCTCATGCTCACTAGACTGGTCCTTTACCACTACGTTACATTCCCAGCTCAACAAAATCTTTTTGTTGTCTTTTTGAGACAGGGTTTCTCTGTGTAACCCTGGCCATCCTGGGGCTTACTCTGTAGACCAGGCTGGCTACCATCTCAGAGATTTGCCAACCTCCGCCTTCTAAGAGCTAGGGTTAAAGGCATGCACCACCAAAAAAAAAAAAAAAAAAACCCTTCTTCACATACAAATATTTTTATCTTGAGTAGTGCTGGGTAAAACACTGTGAGAGGAATGTCTGCCTCGCAGAAAGCCTGGATTGCCTTTCTCCTTCACCTAACCAGATTCTTTCGTGGCCCAAGCAAATCTATTCATGCAGGATGCTGAGTCAGTCAGTTTTCATCACTGTGACAAAATACCAGAGGGGACAATTCAAAGGAGGAGAGGTTTACTGTGACTCACAGTTGCAGCTGTTTCAGAGCATCCTTGTCCTCATCACTGTGGACCAGTGGTGAGGCAGAGCATCATTGTCCTCATCACCGTGGACCAGTGGTGAGGCAGAGCATCATTATCCTCATCACTGTGGACCAGTGGTGGGGCAGAGCATCCTTGTCCTCATCACTGTGGACCAGTGGTGAGGCACAGCATCATTATCCTCATCACTGTGGACCAGTGGTGGGGCAGAACATCCTTGTCCTCATCACTGTGGACCAGTGGTGGGGCAGAGCATCAGCAGGAGTCGGAGAAGGAGACTGATACAGAGACTGGGGGAGGGGGGGAGACAGGCATAAGATCCAAGTTTCGAAGCACATCCCTTGCACCACACTGCCTTTAACAAGGCCCCACTTGCTAGTTTCTGTCACTTCCCAGTAGTGCCTTCACATTATGAACCCACCAAAGGGTCAATACACTGACCGGGTCAGAGTCCTCGTGAGCCCATTATTTAAAACACCTTATAGCTGTCTTTTAAAGACGCTGTTTCTGCTGATATTTTACTACATGTATGTTTTCCTATTTATATTCTATTACTATGTTTAAAGGAAGCAACATGGGGAGGCATACCGTATGCTTTCTCATGATATTTCAAAGTAGCGTGAGCCAGCTTGCCCTGATGGACTTTATGGGAAACAGCAAAGAAAGGTACTTGAGAAATGCCGTAGGGTAAGTTACGCCATGCCTCAAGTGCAAGGTCAGGTATTTGCAGCCCAGCTTGCCATGAGCTCCTTTTGCTTTTAAGTCCCTGATTAGTGCTTCTGCTGTGATTTCTGAGCGATTCTCACCAGCTTCTTGTGTCAGTGATAAAGGGAGTCAGGGCCGAGTTGCTAATGATTTACCCTTGGAGTGGTAGTGGTAGGAAATCTATGGCTATTATCTGTGTCAGGGCCACTAAGGTTTCAGGGGGTAGTGGTAGGAAATCCATATAATCCGTGTCAGAGCCACTAAGTTTTCAGGGGTACCTGCATGAATCTATCTAGGAATTTTGGAATGAGTGACTGGGCAATACATGACACAAGATTTTAAGGGCCACAAGCCATAGGGACATGGGATGGGCCTCTACAGATAAATACTGCATGTATAGTCCTTTTAAAAGTGTGTGTTCTTGCCATGATCGTGCCTGGAAGATTTGGGAGTGTGGAATATGGCTTTAAATATGGGAAGTTTTCAAGGTGTTGTTTTCTTTCCAGTTCAGTGTCCTATTTCATAAAACCTCTTTCCCTGGTGCTCCTGTATGCTCTGTGAAAGGTCTTGGGTTTGGGGCTCACGGGGTTCACTGAGGTGGACTAGCCTTCTAGCTAAGGGATTTGTTAGACGAGTCATTAATGCCATAGACAGACAGAGAGTAACATGACCAAGGCTCTGAAGAGAGTCCACATGGCAGAGTCATCCTCAGGCTCCAGAATACTGGAGTCACAGGCATGTCAACCCACATCTGGGCAGTGGGGGAAGAGATTAAAAAATGAGATAAAATTGGGGAAGCTGCTTGTTCACTCGGGGAGTTGGAAGGAATGCAGTAAAGAGTCAACTTTCTGCTCTCCCTGGCTCCCTTTCTGCACCTTCACCACATGCAAGCTGGGGTGACTGTCTTGGTCACACCACCACAGGCTTCACAGTGGTCAAAAGTGCATCTCCAGCAGAAACAGAGAAGGGGAACAGACACACAGGTGCTGCCCCAATTTACTCCCTAGGGAACAGACAGATTATCTCCTCACCAGGACACTGACAGACCCTTCCTGTTCTCCACGTGGGCCTTCAGAGCCACGAGTCACAAGACAATGCCAGTGCAGAGCCCTGTGTGTTTTATCCACAGAGCAGCTGCCACTCAGGCAGGACTGGGAGCCATAGCAGAGGACATGTCCAGAGAAGTCTGGAGTAAATTTTGTGCACATTCTAAAGCTCTGAAGCATTGTCTCCCCATCTGCTGAGGGCCAGACTAGAGAGAACTCTCCTCGGAGTGAGTAGGGAGTCAGAAAGTCCATCTTCACCACAGTGAGCTCTGCACACGTGGATGGTGAGATCTATGTGGAAAACACAGTGAGCACTGCACATGTGGATGGTGGGATCTATGTGGAAAACACAGTGAGCACTGCACACGTGGATGGTGGGATCTATGTGGAAAACACAGTGAGCACTGCACACATGGATGGTGGGATCTGTGTGGAAAACACAGTGATCTCTGCACATGTGGACAGTGGGATCTATGTGGAAAACACAGTGATCTCTGCACACATGGATGGTGGGATCTATGTGGAAAGCACAGTGATCTCTGCACATGTGGACAGTGGGATCTATGTGGAAACACAGTGATCTCTGCACATGTGGATGGTGGGATCTATGTGGAAAACACAGTGAGCACTGCACATGTGGATGGTGGGATCTATGTGGAAAACACAGTGAGCACTGCACACATGGATGGTGGGATCTGTGTGGAAAACACAGTGATCTCTGCACATGTGGACAGTGGGATCTATGTGGAAAACACAGTGATCTCTGCACACATGGATGGTGGGATCTATGTGGAAAGCACAGTGATCTCTGCACATGTGGACAGTGGGATCTATGTGGAAACACAGTGATCTCTGCACATGTGGATGGTGGGATCTATGTGGAAAACACAGTGAGCACTGCACATGTGGATGGTGGGATCTATGTGGAAAACACAGTGAGCACTGCACACATGGATGGTGGGATCTATGTGGAAAACACAGTGAGCACTGCACACATGGATGGTGGGATCTATGTGGAAAACACAGTGATCTCTGCACATGTGGACAGTGGGATCTATGTGGAAACACAGTGATCTCTGCACATGTGGACAGTGGGATCTATGTGGAAAACACAGTGATCTCTGCACATGTGGACAGTGGGATCTATGTGGAAAACTTGATTCTAAACTCATCCTATACAGTAACTTGTCTTTTAGAGAGAGGGTCTCATGAAGTCTAGACTGGCCTTTAACTTGCTGTCATGAAGGATGACTTTGAACTCCTGATCCTTCTGCCTTCAACTCCCAAGTAGGAAATAACATACATGTCCTCCAGGCTGGGTTCTATGCAGTGGCTCCAATTCCCACATGAGCTCCAAGAGGGTCTTCTCTAGCCACTGCCATGCCATAGAGGAGGAAACAGACACAGAAAGCTGCTCTCCTACCTACAAAGGCTAAGGTGGAGCTGTACCCACCCCTCTTGCCTGGCACAGCCCATGAGGTAAACTGAGGCTCTGATAGCAAAGATGGTTCTAAACCAGACAATGTAGGAGCTCTGCTATTGTCCAGACAGATGGAGAGGGCCCAGGCAGAAGGTGGCCAGAGCGCATGTACAGGAGGCTCTCAGAGCATTGAGAGGAACTGCTGAGGGGCATGACTCAGTTCAGGTGACCTTTTCAGAGGTGTGAGAAAGGTGCCCAAAGGCCAGTAAAAAGTGTACACTACTCCAGTTCCACTCCTGTTTATTCCATAGTTCACAATGATCTCGAACCCCTGACGAGGATGGCTGGCAGATTAGAAGAAAGTGTACAGTACACTGTCCCCCAGCCAGTGCCCCCCAACTCCTCCATACTCTAATTCTGTGCTACATTTCTTGGCCAGTCCTGTTATTCAGTCCCAGGGCCATCTTTCCTTGCTTCTGCACCCTCACCCTACCTAATAGAGGACCCTCCTACAGAGTCCCCCCAAGAGCCAGGTATCACTGGCTCTGCTGCTGCCATGGTGTGGGAGCCCATTTTCGGGTTCCTCGTGGCTTTACCCAGCATGTCCGCATAGAGGATGATTAGGACCACGGGCCTGAGTGCAGGTGTCTGAGATGGTCTGCACTTGGCTGTGCTGGGGGAGGAGGTCTTTTGCTCCACCCTTGGCATCTCTATAAAAACCCTGGGACAGAGACAGTCGGGGCCCATTGGAAAAGGTTCCAGGCCCTCTTGAGGCTATCCTTTATTTTCTATCTGTTTAATCTCTGCGATATTCTCTGCAATAAATCCTTCTATCTAATGTTTCCTGCTGCTCACACTCAAGAAAACTCCGAGGAGCTGTGGGGTTGGTGAGTAAACGCCCCACACCCTGGGAAACGCTTACCACAGTCAAAGGGTCCAGACTGCCAGTCCCGGGATCTGTAGGAGACCCAAGACAGAAGATGACAAGAAAGGCAGGACTTTGGGGAGACTCAGAAGGCAATAGGAAGCTGGGGAGAAGGTTCAGTGAGTAGAGTGTTCAACCTCAGGAGCCTGGAGACGTCGGTTTGGATCTCTGAGGTCCACGGAAAAGCCAGGCACTACGCTAAGCCTTACTCATGTGGCAAAATTTCAGGCCGCCAAGAGACCTTGTCTCAGAATGTGGACAGTGCCTGAAAACCAACACCTAAGTTTGTCCTCTGACCTCCAAACCTGCATGTTGTGCACACATGCACCCACATGCACCCACACCCATAGCAATGCACACCTCGAAAATGGTATTAGGGTCCAACTGCTTTGGGCACTCGAGGAGTGAGCTAAGAAGCAGCTGAGGAGTAGATCCTGCAGCCCTCAGCCTCATCCTGCAGAAGGAATCCACAGAAGCATCCCTCTTCTGAAGCTCATGGGCCTTCCCACCTCCCAAGTGCAGCCCCGCCTCCTCACTCCTCTCTCTGGCACTAGTGCCCTTTGACTGTGGTAAGAGTTTCCCAGGGTAGCAGCAGAGCCATTGATACCTGGCTCTTGGGAGGACTCTGTAGGAGGGTCCTCTATTGGGTGGGGTGAGGGTGCAGAAGCAAGGAAAGATGGCCCTGGGACTGAATAACAGGACTGGCCAAGAAATGTAGCACAGAATTAGAGTATGGAGGAGTTGGGGGGCACTGGCTGAGGGACAGTGTACTGTACACTTTCTTCTAATCTGCCAGCCATCCTCGTCAGGGGTTCGAGATCATTGTGAACTATGGAATAAACAGAAGTGGAACTGGAGTAGTGTACGCTTTTTACTAATGGTTCAGTCAGCAAGTGGAGGAACTAAAGCTTCACAAGGTGGAGCCCTTCAGTGTTCCAGCACACACGGGGTAAGGGCTCCCGCCTCAGCCCTAGCTGAGCAGCTATTGGCAGCTAACTGTTTTGCAGGGAGTAGGAGTCATTTTTCTTTAGGGGTGTATAGCCTGGGAAGTTGCCCAGGATCCAACAGGACCCCACAAACACACGCATGGAAGAAACCCCGATGAAACTCAGCGGGTTGTTCAAAATCAGAAAATGGGGCAGGCAATTTGGCTTCAGGGGACAAGGCCCTTGCCATCAAGCCTGACAGAGTTTAATCCTGGGATCCCACAGGGTGGAAGCAGAGAACTGATTCCTGCAAGTTATCCTGAACACCACAGAGCCTCTAGCATTCTATCTCTGTCTCTGTCTCTGTCTCTCTCTCACACACAGAGTAAATAAACATACATTTTAAAAACATAAAAGTGGGGAGGCTGTGTTGGGAACAGGGATTCTGGAAGGAGCTGGAGAACGCAAGAGGACAGTGAAGAGTAAATATGATTAAGACACATTATAGACATAGAGAACAATGACAAAGAATACGTTTTAAAACTTACAGCCACAGGAATTAAAAGTCTTTAATCCTAGCACCTGGGAGGCAGAAGCAGGTGGATCTTTGTAAGTTCCAGGCCAGCCTGGACTACATAGTGAGTTCTAGGCTGGACATTGCTTCACACTGAGCTCCAGCCACAGTAAAAAAAAACAAGGAAGACAGAAAAGGGCAAAGGAGAAAAAGGCAAGTAACCAGGACAAGGTTGCCTCCCAGCACCTCGTCAGTCCCTCTTGCTGACGACGGCATCTCTCATTTAACATATGATACCGGGTCAGAGAAAAGACTCCAGAGCATGTCACAGAAGTTAACTTTAAAATTTTTTTTTTTTTTACTGCCACCCTCTTTTCCCCTCTTTGTTGTTTTGTATTTTTTTTATTTATTATGTATACAGTGTTGTGCCTGCACGTATGCCTGCAGGCCAGAAGAGGGCACCAGATCTCATTACAGATGGTTGTGAGGCAAAATGTGGTTGCTGGGAATTGAACTCAGGGCCTCTGGATGAGCAACTACTGCTCTTAACCTTTGAGCCATCTCTCCAGCCCCCAGAAGTTAACTTTTATTGTAGAATTAAATAACACATTTTTAGAAATTACAAATCCTCTTAAACACACTTACTTGAAATAAAATATGAGTTTCAGGAAACTTCATGGAGAAGGACTGTGTGTTCTGGGTAGCTTCCCTTTTAGGCAGGGCCAACATTAGCAGAAGCAGTGAAGAGAGCGTGTACCCAGCCAGAGTTCAGAGTCTGCCACTGACAGTGTGTCTGTCCTCTCATCCCCTTGCAGGACTCATTTCGTTGGAGGACAGAAGCAAGCACTACCTTCAATGATGAGGTCGTTACAACTTCAGAGCAATTCCAGCCTTCAAGGAAACATGTTCAGGCAAGCAGACCTCTCTAGGCTAGACAGACTTTTGTGTTGTGTTGTATTTGGTGGCCACAGTACAGTCAAGAAGATGGCCATCAGGACAACATTGCTGCAGGACTGGACAATCTGGAGGGCCTCAAATGAGTATGAGGCAGGGAGGAAGGCTACCCCATGCTGTTTTACATTAGACACCTAGGACACAGTCCACAGAGCTGCAGACATCTTCTGTTGTCTCACAGAGCTTGTGAGGTGGTCCCACTTTGTTCCGGAAGTCCTTATCCCACGTGTGATGTTCTGCAGATCATAAAAACCCAAAGGATCAAGGCGTGAAGAGTTCAAGCCCCAAAAAGCACCCTCTAAGGTTCTGGTGGGAGCCCAGCCAGTGCCATCACTAGGATATTCTCTTGGGAGCTCTGACCCGGTTTCCATGGTGTTGGGGTACCAGGCTGTAGTCAAGCACCTCACCTGGGGAGACACTGCGCTGTCTGCATCAGGAACCTCAGCGTCTACTTGAAACTGCACATTGGTGGTAGGCCTTATCTGGGCTTCCAGTCAATTAAAAAGCAAGCTCACCTGAGTCAGAAACTTCACTTTACACATTATCAGTTAGGTTCACGTCTGTGCCTTACTTCTCTAACAAACCTTTGTCTCTCACAGAAGCCCTCTGAGCAGAGTCAGACATGAGGGCTGGGACCCTCTGAGACCTTCATTCTTCTTCAGTTGGCTATTGAGTGTCGTTATTATAACCCATCCTCTAGGCACCCCAAGGCAGACCAGCAGTGGGTGTGCCGGGCCCTTACAGCCATACTGGTTCCTGGCCAGAAAATATTATCTTAACCTGTTAACAAATATACCATCTAAGAGAATCAATTTCTAGTGTCTATGAACTCCTAATGTACTGTTCTACCCTGAAATAAGCTTCATTAATAGATGACACATCAGTGTCTTCCTCTGGGCTCTGTGAATGAGCATAGTGTGCCATCCATACACATGAGTGAACATATATGACACAGGTTGAAAATTTACACAGATAGATACATACACCACACTCACATATAGAAAAGTACACACCACACACACACACACACACACACACACACACACAGAGGAGTTCCACCTCTTGGAATTCGCACTTTGATCCCAGAATCTTAGCCTTTCCTGGGTCTCTGTGGCTGCATCCCTGGCTCTTATATATTTTATGGGACATAGTTCTCACTATGTTGTTGCATTTCCTCTGACTCCAAACGCAATGAAAAAGTCCAGGCTGATGTGGAGGAGTGTGCCAGAATCTCATTGATCTGAGGCTGATCTGACACCCTGAGATCTGATCACACTAAGTGTGTAATCACGGACACAACCTGGGAGAAGAGACCACTTCCTAGGCAGGTGAGAACTCTACTTTCTAGGCAAAATTCCAGAATCAAATATGCTTAATTTCCCATCTTACATGGTTTTCCCCTTTGCATTCAGAAAGCTGATGGTGATGGTTTCAGTAAGAATGGCCCCCATAGGTCATAGACTTGAGTGCTTGGTCATCTGGGATTGGAACTACTTGAGAAGGAACTGGGGGTGTGGCCTTTTGGAGGATGTGTGTTACTAGAAGTGGGCTTGGGGGTTTCAAAAGCCCATGCCAAGCCTAGTGGCTCCCTTTCCTGCACTCTGCATATCCAGCTGTAGAACTCTCAGCTACTTCTCCAGCACCATGTCTGCCAGCATGCTCCCCACAATGATGATGATGGACTCACCCCCTAAAACTGTAAGCAAGCCCCAATTAAATGTTCATTTATGAGTTGCTATAAATTTACCTATTTTATATGACATTGATGAAGAACAAAGTAACATTTAATAAGCATCGAATAAGCTGATGGATTCCATTCTTTGTGCTGTTACTTATTTCCCCGTGTTACTGGGGATGGAGTCCAGGCCTCAAGCATGCTGAACACACACTCTGCCCATGAGCTACACCCAGTCCTGATCCTTTATCCTCTCAACAGCCTGTAAAGTACCAGTATTAGAATCCCCAGATGTCAGGAAAAGGGGGCAGGAGGGGTCAGCATCCTCTCAGATAGAAAGTGACCGGGTGGCAGATCTGAGCACCCGTTTCCAGTGCCCACTGCTACCTAGACACATGGTCCTCACAGAATTCTAAAAGGAGAGTGCTGAGGCTGAACTCCCAAGTGGGTCAGAAAGGACGGGAATTATCAGCTCTGTGTCCTGCCTGCAAACATGGCTGTGATTTCTCGTAATAGATCATATACAGAAGAGAGGTGCGTCCTGTTCATGGAGATGGAACCCCTCGGTGGGCAGAACGATATTTCTTCCACAACAAAAGGTGTCAGTGTGAGAACTCCAGTTCTGAAATGAGAAAAAGCAGACTCAAGGTCAGCAGCTCCGCCCCCAAGTCTCCGCCCCCAAGTCTCCGCCCCCAAGTCTCCGCCCCCAAGTCTCCGCCCCCAAGTCTCCGCCCCCAAGTCTCCGCCCCCAAGTCTCCGCCCCCAAGTCTCCGCCCCCAAGTCTCCGCCCTGTCTCCATCTCCTCTCCTCTTTCCCCTTCCTTCCCTTCCCTCTCCTCCTCTCTAGCCTCTCCTTTCCTAGACCCCTCCCTTCATCTCTTTCACTTTCTCAATCTCTTCTCCTCTCCTCCCATCTCTCCTCATCTCTGTATAATTCTTCCTCCCTCCTCTAGTACTTATGGACCTCCTCCTCCTCCTCCTCCTCCTCCTAGTCATCCTGTCATGTTGTCCTCCTCCTAGACCTTGTCCTCTTTGTCCTAACCCTAATCATCCTCATCCTCTCTTTTCTTTTCTTTCTTTCTCTCTCTTTCTTTCTTTTTCTTCCTCTTCCTCCTCCTCTTTCCTCCTCCTCCTCCTCCTTTTCTTCCTCCTCCTTCTCCTCCACCGGGGCCCCCCCATATGTCTCCCTCCATTTCTGTCTGTCTCCATCTCTCTGAATCCTTTTCTTGAACAATGACCTAACCTGGCAGAGGAAGTCAACAGTAGAAATGAGTAAGAAAAAGAATCAAGCAAAGAATGAGGTCTGTTAAGATCAATCAATGTGAGGAACAAGAGGGGGCAAATGCTAACACCAGAGTCCACTGGTCCCTGTGGGACATCTAGGGTACAAAAATGTTTACAAAAAAAAAGCAGGATGTTCATTACGTTCCCAATAGTAGCTCTGCTGAGGAATTCAGAGTAAATATGACATTGGGGATGAAAAGAGATGACACTCACATACAGTGTCTGATACAGAATTTCTATAACCTCTGAGTCTTGAGGTCTCTACTTGAGGGTTTGTCTTAGAAAACCAGAAGTAGTGCCCCAATATCTTTTAAGAGCAACTTATATTAATCAGAATATGCGCCTTAAAGGAAGGCTATTAGAGCAACCAGTTGGGACACTTGGGGGATATTATTGAGTTTTAAAACACTCCTGAGACATCTAGCATTTTGCTCTTGTACCTTCTAGACCTGGATCCCACATACAATTGATTCTGGAAGCATTTCTTGGTAGCAAAAATGTGTGTGTAAATTGATGCTGGACAAGGCTGTTCGAGTTGGATGGGTCTGAGAAGACAAAACAATCCAAGAATTCCCAGTGAGCCAGCCAGCCATGTCTGATATACTCAGGTAGGCACGCCCAAGGAGCTTCAACAACTGGCCCCACCATGATTCCCCAGATCACAGGGTGCAGAACTCTGATGCTCAGAACTGCAATGGACAAAAGAGAGTAGTCTGAGACCACAGGACCCTGTGTCCCCAAACAAGACCAGGAGGCATCCTGGGATAGAAATGCTAAGTCACCGGGATTCCCTGCATCAGCTCCTCTTCCTGTTATTACACCACACGTGGGCAGAAAATTTCTTCTCAAACGTCAGGCCAAGACTGACTGGGAGCTGTGACTGTGGACTTTGCTCTCAGCTTGAGTGGATGGAGCAATATTTCTGGAGTTGACTATGAAGTGATTCTAAAGAAACTTATGTGGAGGTTCACTGGCTCAGTAGGCAAGGTCCACCCTCAACTCGGGTAGGCAATGTGAAGCCATCTGGGAGCCACAGGACAAATTGGTATAAAAAAAGACACTTCCTCTGTGCCTCTCCTGGGAGAGGCATGCTTTCTTTATCGTTAGTTCAGATCTCCAGGTCTGCCGGCCTCTGGCCTCTGGGGTGTAGACTTGGGTGTCCCTGTATCCTCAGGTCTCTCCCCTCAAACTGAAACTCACCAAAGAGGTTTCCCTGGTCTGTGCCTTTCAGACATGGACTGCACCAAACTGCTCTAAGTATTCCAGAGCTTCCACCTTGCAGAAATTCCCACCTGTTGAGGGAATGCTTAGGCATATAGCCACAGAGTGTCCCCAGTAAAGCAACGTTGTTGGGATGGGGCAGCGCCTTGAGACCCTGGAACTGCAGGGTGATCAGTGTGCACATGGCAGCCTGGAAAAACTGAAGCCCAAATCTCCAACTGTGTGTGAAGACGGTGCACTAAGCCTAGCAAAGCCACAGTGACAGGGTCTTCAATCTAGCTGAGATCAGTCACCCCTTTCCTTTTCCCTTTCCCAGATGACCAGGAACTGAACAGCTTACTCCTCCTCCTTCACTGCACTTTGCAAGTGTGTGGATTCCTCCTGACTGCACAGGCTCACAGCTGGGGAAAACATCTGACTCTCTCACCTGCATCTGGAAGTGTAAGGATTGCTGAGTGCACAGGCTCACAGCTGGGGAAGGCTGACTGTCACATCTGTGTCAGGAGGTGTGCTGGTCCCTGACTGCACAGGCTCACAGCTGGGGAAGGCTGACTGTCACATCTGTGTCAGGAGGTGTACTGGTCCCTGACTGCACAGGCTCACAGCTGGGGAAGGCTGACTATCTCACCTGTGTCAGGAGGTGTGCTGGTCCCTGACTCCCCAGGCTCACAGCTGGGGAAGGCTGACTATCTCACCTGTGTCTAATTGAGACAGGGCATTGCAATTTGAAGATCTTCCTCATTCAAGAGGAAGTTTTGACTCATGAAAGGTAAGACAGGAATCAACCAATCATTTAGAAGCTTCCAAATAGTTCGGCCTGATGATATATACGTGGTGGCAAGATCTCAAATCAGGCCTGCTCCGGCTAAGAAGTCAGACAAAACAAATGGAAAACAAATTCACTGAGATATTTGATAACTTTCTTTTTTTCTGAGATGTTTGTAGGTTTTCTTTTTTAAATCATTTACATGTGTTCTGTGAGTATGTGTTAATGATCTGTGTCTATTTTGAAAATGTGCGTTCATGTGTGAGCAAGAACACACAGGTGCTTCAGCACACCTGTAGAGGTGAGCAGACGGCCTCAAGTGCTGTCCTTCCCTGACGTTTTGGTCAAACAGAGTCTCTTCTGTGCTGCTGTGTCTGCCCCGCTGGCTGTGCTGTCAGAAGCCGGGGCTTTTCCTGTCTCCACGGCCCCCCACCTTGAGAGAACTTTGAATACAGAGGTGGCCAACCCTCCCCGATATTCATGTGCTTTCTGGAGGTTCTGTCCCAGGTCCTAATACAGTCACTGCTAGCGCTTCATCCACGGAGTCACCATCTCCCTGGCTACACTTGAGGATTTCCTCTGAGGGTCTACCAAATGCTGAGAATGATCTCATGCAACGGAAATTCTCTTACCTTCATATCTCTGTTATGTCCAAGAGTCTGGCTTTCGGAGAAAAACAGTGCAGCGCCACACACTCCTTACGAAGGGAGATGATTTCAGTAGATATTTACTTGTGACTTTTTAAATCTCTACAGAGCCCATAAAAAGTTCTGACTTTCAACATGTTTGAAGACATATGACCTGACTTAACCTATGTCAACGGCCATTTTTACAAGACAGGGTGGAAGGATACACATAGTACTCATTACATGAGGTTCTGTCCCCACAGCAGAGTCAGCGGACCACGGAGCAAAAGCCTGAGGACATGGACAAGGGGACACAGCATTCTCTGTGGTGCTCAGTGCTCCAGACTCCAGACACCTGTCCACCAGCACTGCCTCAGCTGACCAGTGAGCTCCAGTCTCACTCCTGTGGGGCTGACCCAGACGCAATGGGGACCACTTCTACACAAGTCTTTTCCAAGTCAGGAACCTGTGGTGACTAACCTGGCCTTGTCAGCATCACACTTTCCCCGGGCTGAGGGGCTGATGTCGATGTGCTGGGCACTAACTCATCGGAGGCTTCCTCAAGGCCACACCAGCGCTGGCTTGAAAAGTGTGGTTTGTACTGAAGAGGCCTCAGCCTTTGTAGATGACCGTGTGCACCAGGGTCCACCTCCCCACTCTTTTCTATACCACCAATAATTGGCCCCGTAGGACCAGAGTCTCCCTTGGTAAACTATTTAGATGTTTTTTGTAGGTTCTTGAATTTTTTCCCCAGAAGGCAACAGTCTGTAACACTTCCTCTTGTTTTTTCTTCTATTAAAGAGAAATGGATATAGGCCAATACTTCACATCTCAGAAGAAAAAGCTTTGTCAGCATGGAGATGTCCAGAGCGTAGTTCTATTCAGGTCTGACATGCTAGCACAGAAACCATGCTTCCCTCAGTACCCCTAGAGCCATGGAACAATGCCACCCCTCACTTACTGAATTGCTAGCTGTCTTCAGTAACAGATAAATCTCAATCTTCTCAGGATCGTGTGTGTGTGTGTGTGTGTGTGTGTGTGTGTGTGTGTGTGTATCTGTGTGTGTCAATTGACTTGTATGCATGTGTATGCAGGAGTGTGGAGGTGAGCCATAGATTTTTGGTGTCCTCTTCAGATACGGACGACTTTATTTTTCTGAGAAAGGGTCTATAACTGGTCTGGAAACTCACACAGTTGGCCTGGCTGGCTAGCCAGTGAGCCCCAGGGGTCGACCTGTAGCTGTCTTCTTAGTGCTGGGGTTGCAAAGACTCCTAACCCTGCATTATTTTTTTATTATCATTATGAATGCTGGGTTCTTGGGCTAGGCTCAGGTCCTCATGCTTGCCTGGCAAGCACTTTATGGACTGAGACTCTCCAGCCTTCATTTTAGTCTTTGCTGTAGTCTCGGTGCCCCTTCCTTGTCTGTCCCCCGTAACCTGCCATCTACAGTTCCCTTCTGTAATCTCGGTGCCCCTTCCTTGTCTGTCCCCCGTAACCTGCCATCTACAGTTCCGTTCTGTAGCTATGTCTATAGGTGCGTTCTGTATCCCAAGCAATGCTGAACAGTTGAACCAGCTCCACAGTTACACCACCTGTCTTGGCGGTCTCAAGTGAATTCCAGTCGGAAGTAAAGCCTCCGATTTTGCTCCTGAAGATCACTTGAATTCAGTGACAGATAAAAAACACAAAATGTCATTAATAAACCCCTTCTATTCAGTGCTGTAGGAATGTTTGGATCAGAGCTGCTCAGCCCTCGGCAGACCATCAGCACTAGACTAGGGAACGGTCCAGCAGACAGACACACAGCAGTCTGTGTGTGACTCCAGTGTACACTCCGGCCCCACACCGGAGCCCTGCAGAGCCCTGGACTCCTCTCCACGAGCCAAAACTGACTCTCCCCAACCAGACCCACTGCACACCACTGGGAAAATGAATAGCTACAAAAAGCTTTAGGGACAAGCACAGGATCTAAACTTCCCACACCCGACATCTGAAACACCTTCTGCTTCGTCGAGAATGTTCACTGTGGTCAGGTCTCTTGCTGTAGATACGGCAGGAAGTTCACAGATGTCTGTCCTCAAGTCACCCTCTTGGGCCCATAAGCTGAATGTGAGAATCCTCCACATCATCACTGGAGGCTGACTGTTTTGAGTCACTGGCCTTTACTCCCCCAAAATGAACTAGTCCGTTAAAATCACAGACTCCACTGGTGACCACAGCGCAGTCCCAGGGCACAGGCCGAGTAGCCTGTCATACACTCCTCCTGTCTTTCTGCTCTTCACACCAACCTTGTCTGCCAGGCAATATTTGTACTCCCTGGTGTACCTCTGTAGGAGGTGACATTTCAGGCTCTGGGCCTTGGGAAGATGATTTTTCAGTCTGAGATACAGCACTGACAGCAAATGAGAACAGTTCTAATGTCAGAAAAGAGAGAAGACAGGTCGGGAGAGGCAGCCCTGTCTCACACATGACTTGACCCTGAACCTGCCATCCTGCTCCTCTCTGCTGCTCTGCGGCGCCAGCTCCCCTCCCCCCAGTGCTGGGGGTCTGAGGCTTCTGTCTGCGCAGTTCTGTGCTGCTCTGGAGATTCTAGGTCGGCCACTGAGACAGGGAAGAGCCACCTTCTTTATCGTCCCATTGCCGACAGTAATTCCATCTAAGGTCTTTTTTCAGTTTCTCAACAAAGCATCTAAGGGAATAGAGCAGAGTGACTAAGATGTACAGAAAATGTCCAAATGTCTAAATGAGGCCCTGAGGAAATGTGTTTCTGCACAAAGAGTTTCAGAGATGCCTGGAGGCGCACTCTGAAATCCCGAATCCCTTCCATCCCGGTGCCTGAAGAGAGAGAGGCTCGCACTCTCAGTCAACCAGCACACTCAGCAAACAGCAGCTGTCAAGAAGTGTGGCTAAGCTGACGTGGTGCTTGCTTGCCATCCCAGTGCTCAGGAGACTGAGGATTGAATTAGTGATCTCTAGAACCTCAAAGAAACAGGCCATACTGCTCAACTTCCAAACAGGAAATAAAGACAGCGGGCTCTTTCTTCCATTCCCAATAGCAATATGGATCTTTGCTCATCCAGTACCTTAGTGTATTGTTTCTCATCAGGACACAGGCTCTCCTTAGAGATCATTAGGTAATGACAGGAGACAGAGGGGGTGCCCGGAGCTAGGAGGAGCTGTGCTGTGGAGACCTAACGGGATGCTGGACCCAGGGATGCTGCTAACCTGCTTCAACACTCACATCAGTCAAAGAACCAGGGAAGATTCATGACTGTGTCACAAGCTGCTTGAGAGGAGGCTGTGCTCAGAAACTCAGTGTGACAAACTGATGTCTGGGAGGACACATGACTCCCTGATAAGAGCGGGAGGAAGGGAGAGGGAGTTTTACTATGATCTTAAGAGACTGCCTTCCTCTTACAGAATACCAAAAATGGAAAACAAAAAACCCATCTTTTAGAATGAACCCTGATGTAGGAATTGCACAACTTGAGAAATGCTAACAGTGGAACCTGAACTCATCCTAAACCTGAGTTTACTCCCCCTCTGTGGAACAGGAAGGTGATGTACCTACTCAGCACACACAGAGTTGTGAAAATCAGTGAAGTCATGCCCAGGAAACCCCTCCTCAGTGCCTGAGCTCCTGAGAGCCACACACATCTCCTTAGGTGGTCCACCCTGAGAGCCACATACATCTCCTTAGGTGGTCCACCACCCTCTGGTGACTGTGTAGCTACAGGGAAGGCTAACCTCTTTGCTGTATCACTCAGTAGGCTACAGGATGAAGAGAAGAAGAATCTGGACTCTGCCACACACCAGCGATAAGCCTGTGACTGGCTGCCTGATCGGAGAAAAGACAGTCAAAACACTCACCAATGTGGACACACCCTGCTTACCTGCCAGCTCGTCTAACAGCTGAGCCATGTGGGCACAGACAGACCCAAGTCTCCTACTCATAGAATTCCCGAGTCACGACAACACCACTTTGGGTCCCCATGTCTTTTGAAAGGGCAAGCATGTGTGTGAGCGGCCAGAAACCTGATTAAAAGATGACAATGTCAAGTTCTGTACTGTCCGCAAAGATGAAAAGCATGAAGAGGAGGGCAGGATGAGTGAGGAATCCGTCACGGGAAAGGAGATGGAAGCTGCAGGTTCTCATGTTAAAATCTTGTGGTGCAGCATGAAGGCATCTTCTAGACGTCCGTGTTTATGGTGTTTTCCCCCATGTTGGTGTAGGAGACACAGGAAAATTTGCTGTTTGTTTCCACATTCTGGCTATGAGTACTTAAAATTCAGAGTCTCCCTTGTGGTGGGAGACTGACATCTTGATACCTAAGAATGGAAATTTTCTAAGCCTGGCATACCCTTAATATGGCAGTAAAGTGGTAGTGTAGGGACGGGCAGTGTCTGTGCCCCTTGAAAACATAATGCAAAGGAGCTCTTGGGAACCTTTCCCTTAAGGAGCAGACCTTACACCCAGCCCGTTTATTGAGGATAGCACTAGAAGACTTTAGCAGCTATTAGTGGTTGTGCCCATGTCAGAGGGCTGTGCATAAGCGTAAACCCGGCAGTCACCACACAGGCTTCCCTGATATCACTAGTAAGGAGGGAGCATCTAAGCTTGGGGGGAGCACAACTCATGTCTTCCACAGTGCGATCCCTGCTAGAAGCAGGCGGCGTTGTGATGGGTGTGCTCATTAACTTAGTATCTCTCATGCTCAAGTCTGCAGGCACACTTGAGGGACAACGAGGAAGGAAAACTCTGTCCCTGCTGTTTAAGGATATCTGGGTCTAGGGCTGAGAGGCAGGAGAAGGAAACACTCCTTTGAGAGCCGTGAATGAGCTCCATGTACCAGAGCACTGCACAAGCCTGTCGTGAACGTTGCTCAGGAGTGAGGGTGTTTAATTGCAAAAGTGTGATGCACTCTAAAGACAAACTGGTCACAGTATTGACCTGTTCTCTGTGATCCCACTGGCAAAGTAAGAAAAAGTGAGGTGTGGCCCCTTGGACCAACTGTTGTAAACACAGGAAAAAAGGCCCCGGGACTTTTCAGTTTGCCACATATGACTGCACGCAAGTTATCTTTCTTTTCAAGTGTAGTGAGACTTACATCATTTGCATCTCCAGCTGTCAAACATTCTGTAGTACCTGGACGGCTCTGGTGGTCTGAGCTGCAGGTTTTAATATGGCTACTTCCTGTCATCAGATAAGCAAGGAGTTATGAAAGCAAGTTCCTTTGTGTGTCTGGAAGGTTGTCAGCAAGTGCATTTCTGAGATAGTGACCCCAGTGGGCACGGTGATACAGGCTTGCTGTCCTTCAGTTCAGTGGCAGAGGCCGGACTGTAGAGACAAACTTCATGGCAGAATGGCACACTTTAAAACAATTTTAATGAAAAAATAGGATTAAAGCAATGCTTTTTTAAAACACAAATTTACAGTGAATTTTTACACAGGGAAAAAATTCCTTTAAAACGTGATGGGGGGGGGGGGTTGGGGATTTAGCTCAGTGGTAGAGTGCTTGCCTAGCAAGCACAAGGCCCTGGGTTTCGGTCCTCAGCTCTGAAAAAAAAAAACATGATAGGGTTTCACTTTTCACAAGATAGGCCAGGCTTGCTAGGAATTCATTATGAAACAGAAGCTAGCCATGAACTAGCGGTGACTGTGGTGGTTTGAATGAAAATGGTCCCTATAGGCTCATAGGGAGTGGCACTATTAGGAAGTGTGGTCTTGTTGAGTAGGTGTGACCTTGTTGGAGGAAGTATGTCACTAGGGGGTGGCTTTTGAGGTTTCAGAAGCTCAAGCCAGGCCCTGTGGCTCTCTCTCTCTCTCTCTCTCTCTCTCTCTCTCTCTCTCTCTCTCTCTCTCTCCCTCCCTTCTGCCTGCTGATCCAGATATAGAACTCTGAGCTACCTCTCCAGCACCATGTCTGCCTGCATGCCACCATGCTTCTCTCTACTATAATAATGGACTAAACTGCTGAAACTGTAAGCAAGCCCCAATTAAATGCTTTCCTTTGTAAGAGTTGCCATGGTCATAGTGTCTCTTCACAGCAATAGG